CGACTGCTATGCAGCACCCCTTCGACGAGTCTGAACGTAGACAGGCCACAACGGTTGTCATCTTGGGTATGTGGAGGAATACTACAGACATCTACTTACAGAGGAGGAGAACCGGGCGTGGGGGGATATACTTGAACAGCCGGAAGATGAAGTACGGTCAGCCACGAGAGTTAGACTTAGCTTGGAGCAGAGTGCCAAGTTGGAAGAGGACCTCCGACCAGAGGAGGTAAAGCGGGCGATTGTGGCGCTCCCTCGCCTTAAGGCACCAGGGTTGGACGGAATCCCCGTTGAATTCTATAAAGAGTTTCACATTTACGCAGCTGCTGACGGAGGCTTGCAATGAGGCACTTTGGCAGGGCGCGCTCCCCCCAGCGTTTGCGGATGCGTATGCGGTTCTGACATATAAAGGGGGCGAAGGACGACGTGCGTAATTGGCGGTCGATTTAAACTCCATGTACAAGGTTCTGGCCAAAGTACTGGCGAATCGCCTGACTGCAGTCCTGCCCTGGCTGATCCACCCTACGCAGACTGAGGTTCATGTGAGCATATAAAGGGAGGAGAATGAGGGTGTTGGGGCGGTGTATGGGGGTATTGGGGGCTGGTATGGGGGTGTTGATTGGATTATTAGGGGTTCTTTTTTTTTTTTTTTTTTTTTTTTTTTTTTTTTTTTTTGTAAAGAATCTCCGCGCCCCCTTCTATTCTGAGGGCCATCAGTCCGGTTGCTTATCACCGGCAAGCATGAGTACAAAGAAGAAAAATAACGGAAGAACAGTTATTTGGGGTTCTGGACCCTTTTTTTTCTTTTTTTTGGCGGGATGCTGACAACTCCCGACCGGTAGGTGCCGACCACCCTGCCGGTCGGCTGGTCGGCAGCTGACCAGTCAAGAGCAGCCGACCGTCGGGGTATGCAACACTGGTCCATACGTTCCTGTTGTCAGGGAAGGCGACGAAGGAAGATAGTATTTGTAGGGTGGCATGAGAAAAACTGGTACAGCCGAGGCAGGAGGGGGGTTTGCATATCATGGACCCAAGGCTGCAAATGACAGCACTGCAGCTGCGAAATCTGGTTGGATGCTGCTGAAGACAGCGGGCGAACAGTGGGCTGAGGTGACACAACAACGTTTGGCCTACGGGCTGAGAGTCTCGCCAGAGGTGGTGGATCTTTGCTTCACTAGCGCGAACATGATGGGGCACGTGATGAGGAACAGGGCATGGTCCATGGCACTCTCGCTTTGGAAGGGGAAGGTCCAACTACAATGTAGATGGCCTGAATCAGTGGGTGCGGTCTTCAACCAGTTGCTTTTCGGCAACAAATTCACATGTCGACATAGCTGCTGAGCTTAAGGACAGATGGGCGAAAAGGGATTGGATCCCCTTGGAAGTGATTTCTAGATGGACATATCGAAGATGGAGGGAGCAGTGTGTGATTCTGAAGCCCCTCTCAGATCAGAAGCAGGCCGGGTTGCTGTGGCAGATATACCACTTAGCGATTCCCACGGCACAGTAGCTTGCAACGACAAGTCGGCACAAGGAGGCGCTGTGCTCAGCACCGGGGTGTGGCCAAATCGAATACATCCCCTATCTCTTTGCGCACTGCCCTGTGGTAGCGGATTTTGGGAGATGGTGGGAGATGGCAATAAGGCAGCCTTCCCCATGGATGGTCACTGAGGACGACAATGCAGTGATCCTGCTAGGGGCACTGATGGCCGTGGACAGAGAGGACAAGCAGAAGCTCTATTCAGCTGAAGTGGTTATTACATTAAGAAGAATATTGGATTTTCATTTCTTGTTTGATTTTAGATTTGTTGTACTATTCATTAGAAATTTTTCTATTAGATTAAGAAGAATACTGGATTTGCATTTCTTGTTTGATTTTAGATTTGTTGTTAGACCTTTTTAGGTAGGGGGAAGGCCAGACAACGAGGAAGTGGGATGTCTGCAATGTTGCGAGGCCCAGTGACTGGAACCATGTCCAGGAGATTGGGGTGCCCCCTCTTGTGACACGCATAATGTGCAACTGGGTACATAGGTCTGTTTCCCGGCCATTATACGTTCCCCGGGAGAGGGATAGCGTGGTCCCCTAGGGCACTGCCTCAGCCCCCCCTGCAGAGTGTCTTGGGCGGCACGGGATGGGGCTGTATCTTGAGTCCCTTTTGAAATCTTGGATTCCAGTCTTTGTGAGGGATGCTGGACCCGATTTCCATCACGTGAAGCTCCCCACCAATAGACCGGAGCCCGCAACAAGGTAGAGGTGTCTGCTCATACCAGCACCTCCAGCAGAAGAAGAAAAAGAAAAAAACTCTCGCTGAGCAATTCGTCTGCAAACAAATAACAAGCCTGTGAACTTGTGAATGGATGGTCCTCGATGGGACAGTCGCATTACGACCTATGTCTTACTTCAGGGACCTTTTCCCCCCACCCCCTTCTTTGGTAGAACTACTGCGAGGAGATACTCACCAGATGGGCAAAGTGCGGGTGGCTGGCTGATTGGCACCTGCACCCCTGGACGTTGAAGCAATGGACGGATTATTGGGCTATGGTGCACACGCTTCCAGACCAAAGGCAGGCTGGCCTGTGGTGATTAATCGCACATTTGGCGGTACCCACACTGGATTGGCTGGCATCCAGAAGCCGTCACAAGGACGCGAAATGCAAGGTTTGCGGACAGCAGGACGAAACATTTTGTCGCCTATTCATCCATTGCCCATGCGTACAGCCCTTTTGGGCGCGGTGGCTGCACCTTGTTCGACAGCACTGCCTCCCGTTGTCTGAGGACCACCACCCATGGGCCCTTTTGGGATCGTTAGCGGGGGAAGTGGTGAAGTGTCAACCGCTGGGCTGCTGGACTGTGGGCAAGGGAAATCTGTGGGGCAGCAGCGCTGTGGGCAATATCGTGCTGCCGTAATGAGGGGTGAGGCCGGGTCAAGCATCGGCGCCAGCTAAAATCATGGCCTACTTCCAAGACAATACGAGGCTCGCAGTGCAGGCAGATTTTCAGAAAGAACTCCAGAAGCTTCCTCCGGTGGCCCCGGTGGGCCACATGACCTTCGCACAGATTGGGCGCCATATGCACCTCGGGTCCGCATAGACGAGGGGTTTGATCCGCTACTAAAGCCTTCGGGGGGACGCCTAAGCAGATGCTGCTAATACTATAGGGGGATGGGGGAAGGCTTGGCCTTAACGGGTCTGCAAGGGGATGGTGAAATAGACATGTTTAGGGATACTGCAAACGGGTGGGTAGGATCACAGCACCAGAATGTATGATACATAGGGGGGGGTGCATGGGAAGTCTGCCAATGTATGCATCACTCATGGGAGTACACGGACTCATCACCTAAATGCGGGACAAGGATGGAGGTGAGCATGAGGGATTACATACACGAGTGGGGCATGACTGCAACTATATGGAGTGCTAGATGAGGCTATTTTTCACCGGGATTCATTACATTAGCCGTACTAGCATCTTGCATAAATTTGCTGCCACATTGGAGGTATGACAATTACGTGCTTATGAAAGGAATAGTTCACATGACCAAGTGATCAGATGATGGTTGGATTAGGTAGCATGACATACGGGGTCACGAACAGCACATGTGAATGTGAAAACATAGGAGCACGATATTATAAGTGAGGGTGGGAAGGGGTGACACTGGCTTTGTGGGACTGTGAGGGGGAGGGAGGGGGTCGAGAGGAAGTGGGCGATGACTTTGTACCGCGGGGAGTCTCCCGATCGTTCGCACCTGACATTCCTTCCCTTCCTGTTTTCCTTCTTTTCCTATATGTTATGCTTGCCGGTGATAAGCAACCGGACTGGTAACTCCCAGAATAGAAGGGGTTGTGTATGTTTTTTGTGCAAAACAAAAAAGTAGGGGGCATCCCAAAGTGGGTCATTTGCTCATCTCCTATGCTAGTGTAGCAGAAGAGGCAGAAGGCCCCCTATGTTATTGTGTACTGTATCAATCTTCATTTGTAAGGGATCCTGGACCCATTTCCAGCAGGTGTTGCTCCCCATCAATAGACTGGAGCCCCCCATAGGGATGGCAGGGGTGTCTGCTCATATCAGCACCTCTGTCAGACCCGGAGGCTATTTTTCAAAAACAAAAAACGAAAAATAGATGAGGATGCGACTGTCTAGTCAACTGAACTAGGACCATCACAGATTTTTGGATAAAAGTGAATGGACATAGTCTTGATGAACCTAGTTTCCTGCAGTCATTCCTGGCAGTTCGCAGTGGCGAACCGAGAGGGTCCGTCCATCTAGAGGAGTAGACCCAGCCACGGGCCTTTTGGTAAAGCTATTGTTATGATGACCAGGGAATCGAGTTCCAATAGGGATAGACAGAGAAGGAGGCAGACACAGGGGATGAGGGGTGGTACCTCCCTCCAAGCAAGCGATCAATGCCGCTGTCTCGGGGTCCCTTGGTCATAATAAAGGGAAGCATATGGTGTGTACTTGTTGTAAGTAAGGGACGCTGGGCCCGCTTTCCAAAATTCGTAGTGAAAAACAATTTTTTTAAACAAAAAGGGTCTTCCTGAAGGTGTCATGCTGGGCAGTAGCTCTTGGTCTGAAAGGCTCAAAGTTGAAATCATTAGAGTTCTGAAAGTTGTCAAAAGAGAGAGGCGCTGTGCTCCCTTGCCAGCACACACAAAAAAAAAGGCCTGTGCATACACATTCACGGCTAAAGAGCTGGCCTGCTATGTAGCACGCAGGACAAGTTCATAACAACTTTTATTTTCTTTTCATAACTGATATTTAAACTTCAGAAGATTTCAATCTGAGCTTTTCGTGAGATCTGACATTCACCACGTCACTGGGAAGAGGGTGATGGGTGCAGAAAGAGAGGGGGCCGGAGAAGGGGGGGGGGGAGGTCACGGTGACAGAGACACAAGAAGCAGGGAAGAGCCCAGTGTTCACTAGGTTGGCTAAATTAGGGCGGCAAATACCAGAAGCAATTATGGAAATAATTCACCGACACCCAGAGTTTGACAGATGACCATACCTTGAGGGGGCTGTACTCAGCGGTGTTATCTGTAAACGAAATTGACTTATTCAAGCTCGCAACAGATGAGAAATTCTCGAACAACAGTGCCCCAGTGCTCAGAAGTGCTGACAACGGCTCCATCTGCTTTAAAAATGCACCGCCATCTGTTGAGTTCAACTGTGATGCCTGGCCGCTTTGCAATTGTTTATGGACGCATGGAGAAACTACATCCCCAAGGAGCTTGATGTGCCCAACAAGACCCAGAAGCTGCAGTCATGGTGAGGAATGCCAACAGTATGATGATCAGACAAGGAACAATGCAAACACTCACTGCATCAGTACAGATCGTCAGAACAACAAACCAGCAAGCGGGCATTTCATGGGCACAAGCAAGCAAGCAAGAGAGAGAGAGAGAGAGAGAGAGAGAGAGAGAGAGAGAGAGAGAGAGAGAGAGAGAGAGAGAGAGAGAGAGAGAGAGAGAGAGNGAGAGAGAGAGAGAGAGAGAGAGAGAGAGAGAGAGAGAGAGAGAGAGAGAGAGAGAGAACTACAAACATGGAAACTGTCATTCCTCTCAGGTTCCCCTCCTGTCAGTCGTGTGTTAATCACATCACAGCAAATGCTATATACGTCTGAAATTTCTGCAGCCTGCAAATACCACTGAAGGCGAGGCCATGGGTGCGTGGAGTATCTGACAAACGTTGACGATTTTTTCGTCAACAACTTGAAACACCCTTGATGAGCAAGTCAAATTCAAGACTTCCTCTAGGTGTTCACATGGCTAGGTATATTATAATGTCATTCTCTTCCACAATGTCAAATTACACTGATGGGGGGACACACTATATAAAAATTGTTCTTGAACAGAAGAAGTCCCACAAACATTGCGAGAACAATACGTTGTGTGCTAGCATAATCAGCAAGGGAGAGAGAAGCCATCTTTGGTTGACTTAGAAACAGAGAGTGAGACAACTGTAATGAAAGATGACACGCGAACACAGGTCTTCAACTGAAATCGATGCAGTAGAAGAATGTAAACAAGTAAACAGCACCATACATTTACCGAGCTGAAGTAATGAGATAAGCAAGAAGATGATGAATTAAAAAGCTTTTCCCGGAACATCAACATTGCAGGATCCAATACCTTTCTCGGCCTTCTGGCCAAGATCAAGTGTAGTATATGTTCTGATCAGTTTAATTATTAACTTCAATACCTAACCTGTGGTCCATCGGGCCACATGATATTAAATTAATTTCTCAGGGCTGCGGGGGGGTCACAGGGGTAGGCTTGCCTGCTCGACTTCTCCAGCGTTGCCATTGTATTGCACTGCAGCGGAGCGTGGTGCGGCCCATCCTCCACCAGGGGGACAAAAGCAAAAAAAATGGGGGGGGGAAGAAAAGAAAAGAAAAGAAAAACATTGCAGGATCCTATGGCACTAACAGACTGCTGGAGGTAATACCACTCGCTTTTCGGATGTGAAGTCCAATACCGTAATAAACACTGAGTGACTGAACCGAGATAACAAAAAGTCGAACATTTTCTGAAGTTGTGGACTTCATAGCGCATCTTGTGCTCTATGAATCCCACTACTTCGCACCTGCTTCTCAACCGACATCCAGCTGATCAGCAAGGGGTTGCAGAAACCAACCAACCACATTTGGACTAGTGCTGCAATCACTTTCCCACAAATATATACTCGTTGGCATGAATCATCATGGTTGTGCAGGTTTCAGGTCAGGCGCAGTTGTAATGCTTCCTTGGGTTCTATCTGGCCGAACAAAGAGGGGTCAACAATCAAGCTGCCGATCATACGCACAATATCGATGAAGAGCAAACATAACCATCTTCAGCTTTGAGAAAAAATAAGGCTCCAGAGGTGAGGGAAAGTGGGGGAAATTGGAGGCATGAAAAGAGAAGTGAGGAAGAAGTATATCGGCAAAACAAAGGAAGAGCCCTTACCTCCAAAAAGTTGACTGCAATTTTCAGAGTTCACAAATGCAACCACACATTCCACAAAGGAGAGTCAGAGAAAGTCAGCCCGCCGCTGAGGGTTCAATCCTTCTTTTCCCCTTTCCACAACACCCTCTGTAATTCGCTTAATAGAATTGACAGAGCAAACAATATGCATGAATGAGAGAGCAAAAAGAAAACCTGTCGGAACTACCTTCTTCCCTTTTCCCCTGAAGCTGGCAGGTAGCGAGGGAAGTCCTTCGAATTGGTTTCTACTTTTATTCCCGAAGTTTCTTTCCTTCTTCAGGATTGTAGTACTAGGAGACATGCCACCGACACAAATGACATGCACTTCGCCGTGCTGACGCCATCCCAAGGATTAAGTTCCGTCTCACTTACTTTGAGAGAATCCATCTCCACCTTGCAGTGACTCTTCCTGAATGTGCAAGGACAGCTATGCACAGGTAAATATCGCAGTGGAGAACAGGTACATGCTACAATTTGACTGACCAACAATTATAGCAATATATATACTGATGCAAAGAACTACAATTGACCATAAGACCACCTCACGGGAACCGCTCGTTCCATCCGAGAGAAAGAGCAGTACCTAATTGTTGAACAGGCATCCCTTCCAAAGCCTTTTAGACCACATCCATAACCCTGCAGCGACAGCTTGTAGAACAGGTACTGACATCAAGGGCAAAGCCTTTTAGACGAGGTCCATATGTCTGGTTGGACCTGGATTTGCTGTACCGGTGGTAGTCATCATGTAGGGGTTCCACTCCAGAATTTCTGGGCTCAGATATCCAAGCAAACAGGCTCGCAGGTTGAAGAACAAGGTTTCAAGAAGTAACTATAGTGAAGAGATCCGACAGAAACAATTACACAAAAGAAAACTTTTGCACACAATGACTAAACTGCAAGGCTCCACGCCTTGGCGGTTCGCCGCAGGGGCCACCTGAACAAAAAGTTCTCTGGCCCTATGTGAAGGCCGGGAATGAAAACAACGGCTGGGCCTTAAATAAAGGCCCAGGCCGAGTGGAATTGAGAAGGCGCTGTATGGAAGCTTCAGGCAACAGGCCCAGCCCTCGATGAAAGTTGACAAAAGGATTGGGGCCACTGCTGAGGGACATTCTGGACTTCAGAGTCTGCAGGCCGCAAAGCGCTAAAATTACCACAGGAGTTCGGTAGGGCACAGTGTGTTGACGACAAAAGAAGGACATAGCCGACACGGGTTTTCGGCTCTGCCAGTGGCAGCCATAGCTGCACTGGCTGTGACTTGGGACGTGCAGGTATTGGGAGGACGGGACAGCGGTGAGAGCGGGACTTACCTGGCCATGGGTGGAAAGGATACTTGAAGTGGTAAGCTTCTACACCTGGCCGTGAGTGGAGAGCACACTTGGGGTGTGGTCAGACTCTACAGCATTGTGAGGAAGAAGCCATGAAGACACAGGGAGAAAAGAGAGAGTAAGAGATAGACATGAAGTAGGATGGTATGTAGAGTAAGTAGGGAAGATAGCCTGGGCGGCCACATCAGAGAAGAGCAATAAACTGTCGTTGTCTTGATAATTGGACGCTGATGTTGGGCTTTCTACATCATGGAACTTCGGTTTGTGTGCCTTCACAATGGGTGTGATTCCACCTTTGTAATTCTACTCTCGACTTCTCATCGTTGGGTTCCTTGCAGAACTTCAAAACAAAAACAAAAAAAAAAACTGAGGATGAAAACAGAGTTTCAGGAGTCTTATGCATTATACCTGAGGTCGTTCCATCAACAGCAATCCCTCCCAAAGGGACAGTGAATTCCTTCACTGCGAAGCTTGCTGCATCCCAATTCAGAGCTGCCGCCATGTCATCTTGCGCTTGAGATCCACACTGGTTGCAGTAGGTGACAACGGTATCAGCAGAAAATATTGGGGGCCAACACAACTTAGCTTTACTCTGCTCAGTTCTTCTCACTCCCATGATCAAGTTCAGCTCTGCTGTGCTCACTACACTGCAGATCCATAATTGCTGGTCTGTTGTATCCACTTACAGTGCAGGTTTAAGGCATCGTTGGTTCAATAATAGACTTCAAGTGAATATGGGTTTGTTAACTTTCACCTCTTTGTTCTCAATTCAGCGTCCAATACTCCAGGTAGAACGATTATTCGACAGTGTGGCTTGGGTTATAAAAGGTGACATTACTAAATGTTGGGCTTCACGGCCTCACAGCGCGTTTCCAGGAATCCTCGAGGAAGATCGCTTGTCGAAAATTTATGACCCTCCAAAAATGCAGTGGATGGAGAAGGAACATGCCATCACCCGAAGATTGGTACTCCTCAAGCTCTTACGTTGTGAAGGCTTTCTCCAGATCCAGCCAGAGTCGACATCTCAATTGTCTTAATTGAAACCATAAATAATCATTGCAAGTAAACAAGTCTTGCCGGCGGAGTACAAGTCACGTACAAGTTGTGGGAAACTAGGGCTAGGTCGTCAAGGTGTAAGCCAGCGTTCCTTGGAGCCTTACCTACCAAGGCCATTTCCGTTTTTCAGTAATGGTGTCTCGTGCAGCCAAGCTACAGTTGTTTGCAGCACCAGGGGGGAGGGTTTGTGGTGTGCAACCGATGGTGCTTGTTGTCTATCTGTGTCTAAGAGTGGGGAAGATATAACTTTCAAATCGATGCTCATGCAGTCCCTAGAGGTCCTGTCAAAACTGCCTTTCTCTGGTACACCTCTGAGATTGTGTTAGGAGAAGCCAAGAAGACATCACTATTTTTATTTTATTTTATTTTTTCAAAGGGCGACGGCCTTGAGATGTCATCATTAAACTGACCGGCCCCAGGCAATTCAGAATGATCTTATTCTTTTCATCTGAAGGTATCTGGGTTCGAACTTAGAGTACGTATTTCAACAGTTCAGGGGTGTACCAACTGAGCTAGGCCCGTTACTCTTTTCTGTTTTCATTTTCCCTTCCCTCCTAGGCCCGTTACTCTTTTCTGTTTTCATTTTCCCTTCCCTCCTCTCCCCCCTTCCCCCTTGTCAGGAGGTGTATAAGGTAGCATAAGTGAATGGGAGGGACTGAGTTAGAACTGAAAGATTATGAAATGAATGACGTCAAACAAAGCCACCCTCAGTTAGAGTGCGTATTGAGTTAAACCACCAGTTCACATGAACCTAAGCAGTGCCCTCACTGGTATACGAGGGAAGAGCATTTCGACTCGGGCCTGGGCCGGTAGTGAAAGTGGCAGGCCACTTCGAAAACGCGCACTTGCAGGCTCCGAGCCTTGGAAGGTAGCTTTGTCAACTTACGCTCGTGTGAGCTGGTGGTTTAAGTACCAAACAGGGATCCAAACCGAGCACAGTGAGCTGAACTGGAACACGCTGAACTGAACCGTAGTGACAAGGAAGCCAAACCGAGTTAAGTGGACCATAACGGGATATCCCATCCCTTATGCGAAATGGAATATGCAAGATTTTCAGTTTGCACGCACCCATAGACTACGGTGAAATGTGACTTGGCTCCCTCCCATCAAGCTCGTGGACCAAGTTGGGATGGGCAGGAAGGGCAATGCATGGGCGTTTCTGCACATCGTTGTGAACATACCATGTATTTGTGTGAGATGTAAAACCCAGCATGAATGTTGTTTTTCCCTTTCCTGAACATCGAGCATTTCTCGATTTATGTGAGCCATCCTTAGTTGCCCAGGGCCATGCTAATCTTCCTTCAGCATAGCCATCCAATTTTAAGAATGGGACCCACATGACAGTTTCACTCACAGACCAGGAGTACAGGATGCAGAGAGAATGGATCTGGATCACGTAAAGTTCCGAGGAAATAGATAGACTTGCAGCAGAAAGAGGATGGAGGAACGGCCATGCAGCTGATACCATGTGCAGAAAGCAGGCGACACAAAAAGGTGGTGAAACGGATGGTCGAGTGCAGAACGGAATGTGACCTAGGAACTGAGGAAGTAAGAGCAACGGGAATCAGGTGAGGACAGATTACAAGTATGTAATCAGCCTAGCGCTGAGAGGATGCAATCATTTCCTGAGCAGATAGAGATGGTAAGGGAGATGCACAAGCTTATCACTCCTTCGCCAGGGATACTCGTATGTAACCTGTGAGATGCAATTTCTTGCAGGCGATTGTTCAATTCATTCTGAACTTCTGAACATCCAATTTTAAGATTTTTTTTAAGTTTTTAACAGACGTCTCAAAGGACACCAAGGGATCTCAAATTCACCAGAGAGAACTCTGCTTCCTCCATGTTCTATTCGCTGTACCTTTGTTGTTGCAATTGAAAGGGTTGGACATTGTCCTTCACTCACACTAGCAATTTTCCACTAGCAATTCAGCAGTCAACCTGCATCATCGGATTAGAGGAAATAGGTGTGCAAGGATTGAACCTCCCACCCTGCTAGCTTCTTCCCTGAACATAATATACCCAATCATCATGACTGCATGATTGTATCGTGACACACAGCTTGTATGCACTCATGATGCTTGGGCATCAGGTTGTGCAGGGATAATAAATAGGGGGCAATTTACCACTCAATAGATCTAGGTTACGTGGACAAGCATCGACCAAACGAGAATACAAACAAACATAAAGGGCTGATGCGGCTGAGAGATTACCTGCTGAAGCACATACGTCTCATTCGCACCATAATTCCGCACGATCTTGTAATTGGATCCATACTGAACAGTGAAGTTCTTTGCATGTTCAACATCTGTCTGCTGCTGGATGATGTAAGGAGCACCAAGCTGGCTGCTAACATTGGCCCCAGACGGCGGCACTGCACAGGGTGTGGAACCACCTTGTGCATCCGCCTGCATTATGTATGTCGATAACAACCACATCTCTGCAATGACCACTGCCCATGTCCACTGCCATGGCATGCCTTCCCTTCGAGTTGCTGTCACTCTGTTTGCCATCATGTCAAGAAGCTCTGCTACAGGCCTGCTGGGTATGGCGTTAAACCAGGCTTTGCTCTTCAGCACTCCTCCGTAGACTAGCCGTCAAGTCCTTCCAAGCATTGCCTTCTATTGACAAATCGTAACACAGTCAACATGTGAGCAATACATCCACCAGCATGTAAAGAAAACTGACTGCATGAAAGTCTAAATCAGACCGAGAGACAGAGACCGTTGGCTACGGAGATCCTTTTCCTGGAGCAGGGTTTTCCTTCCATATCCGTCCATCTTTCACCTCCTTGATTGCCTGACTGCTATGTGTTTGAAACTTCTCTGAAGAAACAGTCGGGCCAATGACTCAGAAATGGATTACACTTGACTCTGTACCTGATAATTGGCCGAGGCATAGATGAGGATATGCGGTAAGTCAGTTCACCTTCCCAGATTTCTTCTTGCACAGTGAATCAGAGCGCAAAGGCATATATATAGATATATAGATATATAGATATATAGATATATAGATATATAGATATATAGATATATAGATATATAGATATATAGATATATAGATATACTAGGCGGCCATGCTGTGCCTCTAGTGCCAGCGGCGTGTCTGGAGTGTATTTTTTGGCTGTGACAGACCTTTCTTTGTTTCGTGGATGTTTTGCTGGCTTGTGATGGGTGTGAACCGACAGTCTGTAGAGTTTTCCATCTGGTGTGGGTGAGTGATAGTCTACTTTGATTTTGGTTAAGGTAGATTATCATTTACAGTGTAATCAGTGAGGGGATTCTGCAGACTGTTGAGGGTTCAGCCTCCTGATGAGTCGGTGAAACTCCGACGAAGCAGTTTGTCACAGCCCCTCGTTTGTTGTCCTCTTCTCTCTCTCTGCCTACGGTTTACCGGGCAGTTCTGTTTGTGACGATGATGAGTCGGTGAAACTCCGACTGAAAATTAGTCACAGCCCCTCGTTTGTTGTCCTCTTCTCCCTCTCTGCCTACGGTTCTTTTCTGTAGCATAATCTTGCAATAGGCCACCTGCTGCCAACCGAGTCCCTTTCGAAAGAACACTGAAACAACCTGGCTGTCGCTTTTTTCTGGACTTGGCATGTACTTCGCCTTGGGCATGGGCCCTGCTCTCTTCTAGTAGCATAATCTTGGACTATTATCCTATCTTGTGTGGGCTTTCCATATTCAGTATACCTTTTTCTTACTCTGATTTACTCTGTTTTTTTCTGCATTTCTCTGATTTCAAGGGTTTTTCTACCTTTGGCTACTAGGGCCCGTTGCATGGTGTTTATTTGTATTAGTAATGGTTCTGGTTCTCCCCTGTTTTCTTCTGAATATGTTTTTAATTTTTTATGTTTCAACCTGTGCCCTCAGTTGATATCGGGGTCGCGGTAGACCATACAGTGACTGGCAACACAATGACCTGCAGCCACTAGGAATCTGGGGAGGCATATCCCTCCCTCGGTACAGGACGTAGTTTTTAGGGCTGTGTATCTGGAGTGTGTGTTTTTCTCACGCCTCTTCTTAGCCACTGCCTTCGACTCTACCTTTGAAGGTCCGTTAAGAACGCAGAGCCCCTACCACGCATTGATGACCTCTTGGATAGACTGCAGGGATGGACCCAGTATGTTGCAGTCACCCAGAAACTTACAGAAATGGGCTGCACAAGGTTACATACATAGGGCCAAAAAAAAAAAAAAAAAAAAAAAAAAAAGGTTACATAGGGCCTGCTCAGTCAGTCACCCTGGGTTTTCAGGATAATCAAGGTTGGCAGATCCCACAGTCACTTCTTCATATTCCTACATGGGGTGACCAAACACAGGGCCTGCTCAGTCAATCCCCTGTTTTGCAGGGCAATCAATGCTGGCAGATCACACAATCATTTTTCTCACTTTCATTCTCTCATTTTCTCAAGATACCCCTTTTTTTCTGTATATGGGACGCTGGACCCTTTTTCCAGTAGGTGATGCTCCCCACCAAAAGATGGAGCCTCTTCCCTGGTGTTAGTGGTGTCTGCTCTTATCAGCAGCACTAACACTGGTGAGGGTGYTTTTMAAAAAAAAAAAAAAAAAAAAAAAAAAAAGATTTATGTTCCCAGAAGCCTTTTCACAGGGCCCCCTTTTTTTTCCAGCCAGTTCAGGGACGGTGGAGCCGCTTTTCCTCAGTAAGTTTTAATTGTCCTTTTACCTTTTTGGGACGGCGGACCCGCTTTCCAGACAACACATTTTCCCAGATGGGGCGCTGGACCCGTTTTCCAGTAACAGATACAACAACAGACTACCTCAGATGGGAAGATGGACCCGTTTTCCAGCACAAGGCGTAACTGGGTAATGGCCCCAGAGTTCTTACCGGGTAGAAGTGTGAGGTCCCCGGCCTCAACTCTTTTGCAAGAAAGACACATTCATTCTTTGGCAAAAAAAAAAAAAAAACCGTATGACTCGTCCCAATGCACCTGGTCCAGTACGCGTCCAAATGCTTGTAGAGTGTTGTGTAGCGGAGCGAGGCCCATTGATGACGCCAACCAAAGGCTGCATGAAATGTTTCATTTACGATGATCGGCTTAGACTTTCAGTCTCAGCACCCCATAATGCCACCCACCATTTCGGGTCTCAAGCCGCTGCTTGGTGGAGTGCAGTATGCTTGCTTTCGATTTGAAACAATGCCCCGAAAAAAAAAAAAAAAAAAAAAAAAAAAAAAAAAAGCAAGCCTATTGCAATGCCGCTACAAACAACTGTTAGAATTTCTTTTCTTCTTTTTGAAAGCTCTCTGTTATTCCGTCCAAGTGCATCGAATGAGAGACGACGATCTCGCCCTCGGTTTATGTGGTCGACACTCGGGACATAGGGCCTCGCTGCACTACTCTCGACATGCACAAAAGACAAAAATCATGGCCGTGTATGTTTCCATATTTTAGCGGAAGATTCACTCTAGTTTTGCACATTTCGAGAGTAGTGCAGCGAGGCCAATAAGCTTGATTCATCACGGTATCGGAGTCCCTGCCACTGGTCGGATTGGTATGTCGAGAGATCAATCCCTGCTTTTTTCAACCAGACTTTCAGTAGACATGATGCGTGAACAAAACCTTCCTCTGCAAAAAAAAGAAAAAAAGAAAAAGGGAAAGCTGATGTGGTAGCATGACGTGGGAGAGGTTACTGCGTAAACAAGCACGCTGAAATGTTCCGTCCTTGCAAATTTTTCTTTCAACATGGGCCCAACCAACCTTCTGTACTACCGGCTTCCCCCCAATAGAACGTACGGTCCTTATACCTGTCTCTAGACTAAACTGTGGCCCAAATTCAGCTATGACCAACACATAAAAGGAACCAAGCACCCCTTAATCAGGGCTTCTTCTGGTTTCCTTTTTTTTTTTTCCCGAACGACCTTGATATTTCATCGTCCCCCCAATAGAACGTATGGTCAATATACCTGTATCTAGACTAACAGGTGCCCCAAACTCAGCTATAACCAACACATAAAAGGAACCCAGCACTCCTTCCTTGATCAGGGCTTTTCTGGTTTTCTTTTTTTCTTTTTTTCCCAACGGCCTTGAGATATCATCGTCGAAAAAAAAAAAAAAAAAAAAAGATATCATCGTCAAACTAACCGGCCCGAGGTAAGGGTCAGATCCCACTACCCTGGATTATTCATTTTTCACCCTCGATTACGAAGATCAACGGTCAGAAATGAACAACAGGGGCTAGCGGGATCTGGCCCTAATTCAGAAATATTTCATTTCCGTCATTTCCGCCATTTCCCGTCATCTACGCCCATCTGGATTCGAAATGGGGTCTGTGTATTTCAACAGTGCATGGGTGCACAGACTGGGATAGGCTCGTAGGTACCTTAATTAATAATTATCAGGTTATCGACGACCTCAGCCACCGACTCTTCCCCCGACCCACGTGCCATACATAGCACGGGACTTGTCAAGAGAACTCCCCCGCCCCGCCTCCCCCCTCTGGGCCCCCTCATCAAGAGAACTAAGAGCGAGCAGCATACCCTCAGAATAGGACTTATTTTAGGCCAGCAACCTCACAACAGGAGCTTTTCCGCAGTGAAACTGGCCGATATTACGGGGAGATTCATCCGAGAAAGTCGAAGTGCCAGTGCACCCTTAGTTCCAGCGGGAATCCCTCTCTCTCTCTCTCTCTCTCTCTCTCTCTCTCTCTCTCTCTCCTTTTTTTTTTGTTTTTTTGGTCCTTTCCCTTCTCTCTCCGCTTCCTTTCACATTTTCTATTCAAAAGTTTTGAATAAAAAATGTGAAAGAAGCGGAGTGACAGCAGGGAAAGGACCAAACAAAAGAGAGAGAGAGAGAGAGAGAGAGAGAGAGAGAGAGAGAAGGGAAGGGAAGGGACAACTTTGTACATGAAAAACAGAATATAGATTGATCAAATAAAATCCGTTTCCTTTCTTTTTTAATTGAAGTTGTAGATGGATCCAAGTGTTACGGACTCCGCCAGCTTGCTGTATTTATTCCTCTTTTTTTTGTTTTGTTTTTACAATTTTCTTGTTTCATTTTGTTTTCCTCTTCTGATTTCAGACAGTTCGCCCTATCTGCATTCTGGTGCCCGTTTTTAAAATCCTTCTTTTGGGACTTTCGGATATGGGACACTTGGCGCCATCCCACATTCTGGCGCCCACTCTCAGACTTTCGATTTTCAGTACTGGCCCAGCCCAGCACGGGCACAAAGTTTTCAGCCTCAGTGCTTGTGTTCAGTGTGACTTTGCTTCAACATTGTGTTCGGGAACTCAAGACGGCGACTTTGCGACTTTGCCACTTTGTGTCTTCTTCCGTCGAGTCGTGTCGAGTCTGCGTCAAGTTGAGTGAGCGTGTGTGTGTTTACTCTCAGTCTCCCTCTCTCTCCCAGCCTCGCTGCTCTGCCGCTGCCTCGTCACACGAAGTCTTGCCTCGCTAATCAAAGATGAAAATGACAAACTGTGATTGCCGGGGGGGGGCCGGGGGGGGAGGGGGGCAGCTGCGCTCAATTGTCGGACACCTTGCAAGCCAACGGTAAGGATTGCGGTCTCTACTTATCAAACCGGAAAATAAAAGTCCCGCTCACTCCAGGGCAAAGCTCGCCTCTACTCTGCAACCCTAGTACCACGAACACCACCCAAATCTATCACGATCATGCCACGTGTCACACGTGATGGATACATTTGCACATACACAGCAAGAGAGCGAGCGCGCGCGAGAGAGAGAGAGAAAGAGAGGCTCCCACCTCCTATTCGTCCTCCTGCATCCTTCCCCCTTCTCGTCGTTGTCCTCCTTCGACGACGACGACGATCCCCTCCTTGGCCCTTGCTCCTCTACGTCCAGCCTCCTCCTCCTCCTCGCCCTCCTCCTCCTCCTCGCTCTCCTCCTCTTCCTCATCGCCACTTCACTCAACTAGCTCCACCCGGGGGCAAGGTCCCACTTGCACGGATTAAGAGATCCTGGCCGTTGATCTTTGCTATCTACGGTCCATATCGCTTAACTCGTGTGTAAGTGGGACCTAGCCCCGGATTCGAACTCGGATCTTTGTTTCACCAATTCATTTCTCCTTCCCTACGCCTTTCATGTGTTTACCAACTGAGTCAGGCCCATTGGTAGGAGGAGAGGAGGAATGCCCGATGAAAGGCGGAGAAAAAAAAAAAAAAAAAAGAGGAAGCCATAGCTATAATGCCAAATCGCGAATCTGAAGCAAGTGTTGTGTCCAAGTGATCTTTCACGGAAGTAACCAGTCAGCAAGTGATGTGTCATGGACGTATTCCGTGGCTGGTGTCCCCCCCTCCCCTCCCCTCCTCCCATGACGTCTTTTGGCGCACTTACTCCTCCCAAGCGCGCTATTCAGAAGGAACGAGGTAGGAAACGGGTCAAGGGATCTAGTCATCAGGAAACAAGAGATACTCTCTCTCTCTCTCTCTCTCTCTCTCTCTCTCTCTCTCTCTCTCTCTCTCTCTCTCTCTCTCTCTCTCTCTCTCTCTCTCTC